GAAGGAAAGGAGAGAAAGCTTCTACCAACTGTACTGCTCAGTCAAGAAAAACCTTTGTTAATTTTTGTAGGTATACTGTTCATTAGCATGACAACAAACCACACCAGGACACTGTTTTCCTATTTCTATTCATCTGTTTATCAACAGTAAAGACTACACTCCTACGTTTCTCAGTGCTGAAAGCAAACACACTCAGTTATCCAGTTCCCTAGAGCACCATGGTTCTTTATACCAAGAGAACAGATGATCCCAAAATCTGCAATAAAGATCTGTGGAAGTATCACCTAGATTCAAGTCTTTAACGCTTACAAAAGCCCCATGAATAATACATGAGAAAGTCAGATACAGCTATGGAAATAAAATCACAATGCCCCTAAGAGCTTGTATTCTGAAATTAGAATTATGGAGAATGATGGATAATAGATTATTAAGGAGAAGAAAATAATATAACAAACATTCACTTGCAAAGCTTATATGAACGAGGCTCAAAGAACAAATTGCTATGCTTGAGAATTACATAAGGCAAAAAGAATGCAATAAAATATTACAGGGTTAAAGTTCAAAGGCTGATGACTACAGGGAATGAGAAACAAGACATCTGAGTGCAACAAATGAGAACAGTACAAAAAATAAGACAGTGGAAGGTTAAAGAAGAGCATCATGATAAGACTTACAGATGCACAAGGAGAGGGACTTCTGACCACAAGGAAGAAAACAAGTTTATTTAAATAAAAAAAAAGTGATAGAAATAAAAAAAAAAAGGAAGGAAAGCTTCCACAGGCCAGGGAAATGGCAAATATTTTGATATTTCAAAGAGAACCATACAACATCAAAAAAGAATAATTACAAGAAAACTGTTCTAGGATGCTGGACTAATAGAAATGGAGAAGGCAGGAAACTTGGGGATGTGGAGGAAAAAAGGTGAGAATTACACACAAAATAAAATAATCACACCATTAATTCATGTTTCTGAAGTGAGGAAAGGAACCTCTCCAGGTTTTAGAAATGTTCCATATAACAAAGCAACAAGATTTGAAATGGCACAGGAGAGGAAGTGGGAAGGAAGGAAGATGGCCTTCACTATTGTATGCAAGGCTATAGGAAATGGGTAAGGTAGCAAGACTTCCTATTGATGGAGGAAATTAGACTACTGGTGTCTGGAGCAGAGAGGGGGATAACCTGCGCTTGAAAATTCACTAAGAAAATCGTAGAATCATAGAATCACAAGGTTGGAAACGACCTATAAGATCATCCAGTCCAAACGTCTCCTCATCTCCATTGCCACCACTAGCACTAAACCATATCACGCAGCACGTCATCCAGACGCCTCTTGAACACTGCCAGGGACGGCGACTCCACCACCTCCCTGGGCAGCCATTCCAGTGCCTGACCACTCTCTGACAGAAAAAGCTTTTCCTTATGTCTAAAAATGAATGCACAGGAAATAGAAGGACAGTGTAAACAAGATCAAGTACAGAATAGCAAGAACAAGCTAATGAAGAAAGTAACGACAGCCTTGAGAAATACAGATGATGAATGTGGAGAAAGAAAGAAATTTTCACTAAAGACAACAGAAGAAATATTTGCTTAAAGCATGGTAATACATGGAATTGGAAACAATGAAATGTTGTATTACAAAGTTCTTAGAATATTCATGGTGGATATAATCTTCTGTGGTCCCAGCAATGTCAAGAGTTATAATTAAAGTGATGTCAACTAATAGAGGGAGAGTTAATCAGTTTTCTCTGGAAAAGAACTTTCAAAGTACAGAAAACTGCAAAGAAAAGTAGAAAACTAGAAATCCAGTATGAGTCATAGAATCATTGGAAATATAAAGTAATGCCTCCTATTTTATTATGTCCTAAGAGTATTATGAAAAACTTTTTTCTTTTTCTCAAACACCTTACAAATTCAGCATTTGCTACTACAAATACATCACCTGCCTAGGGATACTATTTAGTAGAGCAGTAATGTTGTAAAGTTAAACATATGACTCCAGTTGAGCAATAAATGTTATTCTGCTTTATTACTCTGTTCAGGCTAGTGTAAAAGTCATCTATGACTGTTGAGCTAATAAAGTATGAAAGCAATGATGTGTTACAGAAGTAGAGTTTTGATAAGAGCAGATCGCTCTTTTGAAGTGGCTTCTTATTCTCTTTATTTTCAAAGAAATCATGAAGCTGCATTTGATTTCAGCACCATTTACTCTGTAAATCCGCAGCACAAATATACTCACCTGTTCCATCATCTACATTCTCTACCTCCATCACTTCTGTGTTTATTCTGCCCCGAAAGAGGTAACGATGGCCATCTGTAGATGCTTTGCTGTTCTTCAATCGCCTGATCAAAGAGGAGCAGATAAGCAGTCACGCACAATCTTGTGATTTGTTTCTACAATGCTACTCGTACAAGTAGCATTTAATGACAACTAAAAGTGTCATAGCCCATTTATACCTGTGCAATTGAACTGTGGAAATAATTCCTGAATAGGACACTCCTGACATTAAAGCAAAATGCTACCTCTGACAAGACTTATATACAAACTGCTAGATGACAAGGGATTTTGTCAACAAAGTCTCACACTAAATGTCCTGTTCCAGTACCTTGATACTTACATGTCACTCTGTCATTAAAGACAAAATACAGCATGGGAGAATGTTTCCTCCTGGCTTAATCTCCTTACACTTGTCAAGAAATTCAAAACAAGGATAGTATGACTGAGAAAATGAAATAACATCTTTAGATATAAATTGTGTCCTATAAACATTAACCTCATTTGTGGTGTTTATGCCTGGAAGAACGAACAATAAGAACATTTTTTCTTACATAAGAGTTAATCAGAAATTATAATTAAGAATTGCTGAAATTTTGTGTAGGCATTGGTATAACTGCAAACCTACTGAAAGTTTTTTGAGACTCCTAGTCCCATGCAGCTTCTCTTATGTAAGATAAACCAGAGGTAGTAAGCATAAAAGGTTCAGTATATTTTTTCTCAAAAGTAAACTAAACCCAATAACCCAAGAGACATTTGTATCTGTGAAACTAAAGCTTATTTGCTCATGTTTACACAACTGTTCTGAAAAGAATGTTCAAAAACTATATAAAATATCTTGCTCTATTAAAAAAAAAAAAAAAAAAAAAAAAGACTTAAAAGTTGTCAAAATACAAGCTTCCTGTGAAGAACACCCTCTTTGCCTACTTGCCAATCACAGAATCACCAAGGGAGGAAAAGACCTACAAGATCATCCAGTCCAATCACCAACCACCTACTGATCACCAACAGTGCTCACTAAACCATATTCCTCAATACAACATCCAAACATTCCTTGAACACCTCCAGAGTCGGTGACTTCACCACTTCCCTGGGCAGCCCATTCCACTGACCACTCTTTCAGAAAAGTAGTATTTCCTAACGCCCAGCCTAAATCTCCCTTGGTGCAGTTTGAAGCCATTCCCTCTAGTTCTATCGCCGTTACACGAGAGAAGAGGCCAACCTCCAGCTCATTACAGCCTCTCTTCAGGTAGTTATAGAGAGCAATAAGGTCTCCCTTGAGCCTCCTCTTTTCCAGACTGAACAATCCCAGCTCCTTCAGCCACTTGTCACAAGGCCTGTGCTCCAGACTCCTCACCAGCTTGGTTGCTCTTGTTTGAACACATATCAGGGCCTCAGTTACACAAATTACAAAGTATCTCCTTCAGTTATAAGTCACAGCAAGAAACAGCATTTCCAGTACAGTCTGAAAAATGCCCTTACAGAACAAGCTCAGCAACTTTACAATTTAGAGAACTCCTCATATGATATTCCTGATCAAAAGGGCCCAGGGATGCTTTGCGCTACTATGATTTTCTGCTTTGCCAATTGTGTACTGATGAGAACATCTTCTCCTCATGTTAATTCAACAAGAAGTTGTACAGGTACTACATCTAACCAAAAGACTATAATTAGCACATAAGGAGAGAAAAGGGATAACCTTCCTTTAGCCACATGCCCTTGTGTTATATGAATATAAAATATTTGGTAAAGAAGTATAAAGAATTATGAATATGATTGGAAAATTATTGCCATGATAAGTAATATGCAAAAATTAATGTGAAGAATACAAATATAAACTATACACCACATAAGACAACAAAAGTTGTTAACGAAATTTTAAAGTATCGCTTAAGGATTGGTTTTAGATTCATACACTTTAAGGACAAATTTCCACTGACTAGTTGTATATATATACACATCATATTATGTTTTGAAGCATTCTCAGGTCATTGCTGTACTACACAATACATGAAGATTGTGGTGCCCACACTGGAGTTCTGGTCTCCATTATCAGTGGCAAAGAATTGTATTTGGCTGCGGTATAAGAGAGAATTTCCAAGGTCTATTTTGTATCTAAGGACCCACAGAGGATCTATTTAGAAGTATGTGTACTTACTGGCTACTCAAAGCTGTTTTGCATCAACAGACAAACTCAAACAGGAATACCTGTACTCAGAACTCCTATTTTGCAGAAGTGTAAGAATACTTAGTGAACACTAACTGTAGAACACTGCTGCTGAATTACAGAATTGTTCCTTGTAATATACCAAGAAATAGTGTCCTCTCTTCCCTGCTTAGACGTACAAAGGCTTGAAATACTTGAATCCATTGAGACAAATTTTATAGCATAAGCTACAATACTACGTGTTTCAACTATAAATTCAAATTGTTTACCCTTCCTACAAGAGAGTGGGACTATCACATAGAACTCATTGTGGAAGTCTGATGAAGTAGAATCCTTCTCTCTGTACATCACCATTTGGTTTCTGCACTACTGCACAACATTATCAGTGTTTGAATTAAATACATCTCTCCCTGATGATAGGTCTCCAAAAATGCTGAAGTATGCACTGAATCATAGAATCATAGAATCACAAGGTTGGAAACGACCTGCAAGATCATCTAGTCCAACCTCTCTCCCATTCCCAGTACCACAAGCTACTAAACTATATCTCATAGCTCCTCATCACTGCCAGGGACGGCGACTCCACCACCTCCCTGGGCAGCCATTCCAGTGCCTGACCACCCTCTTGAGAGAAAAAGTTTGTCCTAATGTTCAACCTAAACCTCCTCTGGTACAACTTCTGGCCATTTCCTCAGGTCCTACTATTTGCCTGGGAGAAGAGGCCAGACTCTTTTTCATCACAACCTCCCTTCAGGAAGTTGTAGAGTGCAATGAGGTCTCCCCTGAGCCTCCTCTTCTCCAGACTAAACAATCCCAGCTCCCTCAGCCGCTCCTCATAAGACTTGTGCTCCAGACCCCTCACCAGTTTCGTTGCCCTTCTCTGGACACGTTCCAGGGCCTCAATGTCAATGCAATTAATCACAGTATTTTGGAGTTGTTCAAATATTCAGAAAAAGCATACAAAGAACCAGCTCTACCGTGAGAAAAACACAAATGATTTTTCCAAGTATAAGTGAATTCTTTACCTGTGCTTTTTTTTGCAGTATACCAAAAGGTTATCAAAGAGAAAGAATATCCGCTCTTGGATATTTCCCGCTGAAATCTTCAGAAGTAATCCACTTCGCAGCATTTCTGTGCATGTATCAGTGATGTTAGACCCCTACAGACAATAGTAAAGAGATCATTTTTTTGTGTGAATTCTACAGCAAGAAAAGACAGCGTCTCTCACACAGACAGTGTGACAATTCTCCAAAACATCAAGATTAATACACATGGTAATATATTACTTTGTAACTAATATTTTTAAAAATTTACTTAATGATGTTTAACATTAGCTTTGTGTTCATGTAGTAACTGGAGTAATGGTTTGTTCCTTTTTTGAATGCTTACATTTAAAATCAGGCAAATACGTCTCAGTAATTTTAATATTTATTAGGAAATGCGTGAAAGTGGGGCTTTGAAACACATAATGTATGCCAAGATGAACTGGAAATCTAAGGTATCTTAGAACTTAAACATCACTAAAATTATACATATAATTCCACACTAAATTGAGCTACAGATAGATTCAAAACAAAAATCAGTAACGTTTAAAATTCATGCAAAGTTAACAACAGCATATACAATTAGGACTGCCTAGCATACTACTTAACATACTCTGAAGACATCAGAATTTTGCTAATCTTTGTACGCTTGGGATAAAATTTCCCATGCCTCATTTTTCTTCAGGCAGATCATTCTCCTATTTGAAAAGAAGGTGGGCATTTTCAAAAAGGTTAATGAAAAAGAAGCAACTTTAACACAGAATAACGTTTTTCCACAAATATTTCTATGAAAAATTCCTACCATTTCAATGCCTTACAAAGGCAAACTAACCTCCTGAGAAAGCAAGCCTTGAATTCAAGTTGTTCTTTGTTGTTCTGAATATCATAGACTCACACAAACATTTAGGTTGAAAAGACCATTAAAGTCACCAAATCCAAAGATCGACCTGGCACTAATGAGTTCACCACATCTCTAAAGTGCCACATCCACACATCTCAAAATATCTCCAGAAACAGAGACTTCACCACTTCCCTGGGCAGTCAGTTCCAAATCACTGTTCCAAGGGTTTTTTCACCTTTTCCATGAAGTTCTAACAACCCCCCTGGCAAATCACAGAATGGCCAGGGTTGGAAGGGACCTCAAGGATCATGAAGCTCCAGCCCCCCTGCCACATGCAGGGCCACCAACCTCTCCATTTAGTACTAGACCAGGCTGCCCAGGGCCCCATCCAACCCATCCTTGAACACCTCCAGGGACGGGGCATCCACAGCCTCTCTGGACAGCCTGTTCCAGCACCTCACCGTTCTCGCTGTAAAGAACATCCCCCTGACATCCAATCTAAATCTTCCCTCCTTCAACTTAAAACCATTTCCTCTTGTCCTCCTGTTATCTACCCTTTCAAAGAGTTGACCCTCATCCTGTTTATAAAAACTTGAGGCCATTTTCTCAGGTCCTAACACTTGTCAGTAGAGAAAAGAGACAGAACTCCTTTCAAGTTCCTGTAGAGAGCATAGGTGTCTCCACTCAGCCTCCTGTCCTTCAGACTAAATAAGCCCAGTTCCTTCAGTCAGTCTTCAATATGTCTTCTTCTCTATTCCCTCCACCAGCTCCACTGCTCTTCTCTGAGCATATGCCAGCAACTCAATATTTTTCTTGTAGTGAGGGGCCCAAAACTGAACAGAGTATTTGAAGTGTGGTCTTTCCCGTGCCAAGTTCAGCAGGACAGCCACTTCCTTAGTTCTGCTGGCCACACTGTTTCTGACACAAACTAGGATGTCATTGGCCTCCTTGGCCACACCGCTGGCTCACGTTCCACACCACTGCCTGATGTTCAGCCGGCTGTCAACAAGCATCCCTAGGTTTTTCTCTGTTGAGAAATTTTCCAGCCACTCTTCCCCATATCTATCCTGCTTCACGGTGGTGGTGCGGCTCGAGTGGAGGACACAGCATACTGTCTTATTGACTGCCATACAAATCCATGCTCCTGAGAGACAGATCTCCCATCCCTGTGCTACATTAATTCGTACCATCCTATCAACAATTACACATCTGACTGCACCTAAACATACAGCCCTGGCCCAAGGAGTTTCCTAATTTTAAGCAGTCAACATTCAACTTGGAAAATCTGCCATACCCAGGATTTTCCTTTTGTCTGCACATGTTCTGAATGATTTCTACTTGCAATAGCTGCATTACTTCCTCTTCTTGATCTGATCACAGCAGACCACCAAAAGAAAAAAAAAAAAAAAAAAAAAAAGCACTCAAGAACCAAGAAGCAATCACGGGTTCACTCTCAGCTCCTCATCTTACCATTCATCCTTTGTACATCACAGCTCTGAATGTTGAGCAATAGCTCAGACTCTGCTCTAAGGGGCAAACAGGCTGTTTACAGAGATAAGAGAGATTGCACAACTATAACCACAGTTCAGCTCTACAGATCAAGAAACTTCAATATCAGTGCTAACTAACTACTTTTGATTCTAACTGGGATAAAATGAGGCAAAATGAATGTCATTTGTAGCTGCTAGGCCATACTTCCTTTCCTAAGAGAGAATAAGCACCAGAAGCTAGCAAATTAATCTTACAGTCTTATTAGGAACCAAACATCAAAGCATTTTAAAAGCACATTCAATAATATAAATTAAGCATAAATTAGGACTGTATTTAATTCTTGCTAACAACAACAGAAAAGTAGGTTATTACCTTCCATTCTATTTCACTTCATTTGTACATTAATAAGAGTAACTAATACCTTATGCTACTTTTAAACTTTGTTGGAATTTAATTTTAAAAGTCTGGGTTTTGTGTTGCCTTGTTTTTACAGAAAATTCCATCTTTGCTGGAAAATTATCATTTCTACCTGGGAACAAAAAAAAATTAATTTTAAGGTTTTAAAACTGTATCAGCAGTTTCAGTTTTCTACAAAAGGGTGTATTTTTCACAGAGAAGACATTTAATGAAATCATTTAATCTCTTTATATTGAAATACTCATTTTCGCTGCAGGAAAATTTAACCTTCTCCCAACAGCCCAAGCAAGTTCTGTCACTACGTCAGAATCATGACTTCAAATACCATATTTTTTACATATACTAAATCTATATGTTTCAGGTTACCTCAATTCCCAAGATTTACCTCATTTACGATTCAAGTTTAACCCTGCAGCATGACATTTTATCTGTATCACGTTACTATACTTTGCTATTATTTTCCTCTTCATTTTCCTCTTCTTCTAATACCAGATGATGAAAACATTATAATGGTACTTTTTTCCCTTAGAGACCTCCCTTCCAAATACTGAACAATGTTAACTTCACTTATCCTATACCTTTTGACAAGATCATAACCCATGCTGGTGTGGCTGTAGGTCAATGAATTTTGTTATTACTGTTGCATTTTCTGAAGTCCAAGGGAATAAGATAACAGGATCAGAAGTCACGTCTGGCTCTCCTACATAACACTGTCAGTGCAGAAATATCCCTCCTTCTGCTCCCTCCACCACACCATATGCGTTCAACACTGTGAGGGTCAGCCTGCTCCTAGAATTTGGTTGGGAAAGGAGCTGAAAGGGACAGAAGAGGAAGGATATATTATGTGAAAGTAATGACGATTCTACATCTGACGTAAGCACTCCTCTCCAGAGCATCCCAAAAAACATCCCAAAGAAGGACATGATGGGCTGCACAAAGGACAAGCATATCTATCACATAATTCAAAGGAGGAATGAAAACTATAGAAATCTTTTCATGAAGGATGCATCTGCACTTTAAACAAGGGTTTACAGCAGGAATACTCAAACTAGTTTATATCTAGTCCATTAGGGTAACTCATTTATCCAGCTCTTAGCAGTCCTTCTTGTGGAGCAAGCTCAAGGCTACAAGTGAGAGGACACCCTTGTCCTATAAGCAGGAGAGGCTACTGACTCCACAGCTAAAACTGAACAAACCTTTGGAACAAATATTACCAAGTTTTTCTGAGACAAACACGCTTTCATTAAATATTTGAACTCAAACTACCACAGAAATCTTAAATGTGAGCAATTAGAACGTAAAAAGTAATTTGCTTTAATAAAATTTTCATGAAAACATTTATGATATATACTCACTGCTTGCACGTGAAGATCATACTGTTGCTCACTGTAGCACTGTTCCTATGCTACAACTCATGTATTGATATGAAGTACCAGCAATTAAAGCTGATGAAGTATTTTTAGTGAAACCAGAATTCTTACAACATAGTTTGTCCTTCATCTTTCTTACAGAGTCATTGAAGAACCAAATATCTTTCTTTAGAATAGTACTTAATACAAAATAAAAATACTAAAATACATTGGAAGGAGAAAGTCTATATGAAAGAAATTTAAAATATTCCCCTTTTATCCTTAAGTCATTAAATACATATCTTTGATAGTAAAAAACGTCCTTTATTACTATGAAATCAAAAGCAGTATTTGTTGGTTTCAGTTTTTTCAGGTGTTACTTATCCACATACTCTGAGCAAATTTCATTCAAATATGAAGATCTGGCTGTACTGAATCAGTATCCATCACTCTACCACTGACAAAGGAGAAAAATTGTACTTACTACCTTACATTTCAGTACTTGCACGTATGCATAGGAAATAGAAATAAACCAGGAAAACGGGCTAAAACTTCTGGAGTTTAAAACAGAGATCTCTATTAAAATGCTATTTGAGACAGAATATCCCATGCTATTGTTAATAAGTCAGCCTGT